AGTAGTCTATCAAGCACTTCTTCACCTGAGTCAGTGCTCCCAACTGTGCTCGGTCTTATGCACCTTTCGACCATAAAATCAGTCACGAAAACTGATCCACAATGGCCACTCTTTTTAGCATGAAAATAAAGTTTTCGAAAAAAGAAATTGGAATCTACACTTTTATTATTGTGCGCGAAGTTTCCTTGATTTTCCTCAAAATAAACTATGAGCAAGGGTTAATTCCAACCTCTGCCGGCGGTACCGAGGGTATCTCACCTTCCGTATCATTGAAGCGGTGGCAAGTCAAAAGACCCAAAAGCTGAGGCATTTTCGAACCACAAAAGCAAAATCTTTTTAAAAACAACTGATTTGCTGCATGTTTTTCCTTACATTGTTGTCTTAAGCTTTTTAACCTTCAAGATCTTTGCTTTGTCAGTAATTTAATTTCAAAAAATGGTAAATAAGTAGCCGCTGAGATCGCCGAACTCTTGGGAACAAAAACAGGACTCCATGAATGAAAAGAACACGAAAATGACTTTTAAAACAAAAAAAAAAGATTGAGCAGCACAAAAGTTCAAAAAGCAAACAGAAAGAATCAAAAGAGACCATATGTTTCCATAAATATGATAGATATTTCATTTGGTCAAAGATTGGCATATTGATCGTTTATATAACCACTTTAGACCACTGACCTGTAGTTTCATGCGATACAAAGACTGCTGTGGTAAAATGTTTAGAATACTTTCGAATTTTTTTTTTACATTGTATACCTGAACTATGGCCTCATGTAAATATTGATGATGCTTCTTGCGCAATGGTTTACACAACTTCCTAAACTCTCAAAGACAAGTACAAATGAAAAAAAGGAATTTCATATCTCTAAATAAATCCTTCCTTGGTGTTTGAGCTGCTGAAGGTTTCAGGAGGGAGAGGTAGACAGCGGTGAAGCACAGAATGCTAAAACAGCAATTTTTGATGATAAACAAATATCAATATCCAACCTCTGATGGAGTAACTTTAGTTACAGAAACAAGGACATAAAGTCAGTAAAGATTTGCTATCATATAATGGATTATAAAAATTACGAAACATTTAGAATCTAAAATAGTTTTATTTGCTTGAATTTTGAACATCGTTTTGTAACAAAATATCCGTTGTGACTATTACACAATTTCACATATATGCACACTGTTCAATGGTCGGCACACTTTGTGTTGGACAAAGGTGGTCTAAGATCATGTATGGCAATTAATGACATCTCGTTGCCCATATTTTAAACTTCTGTGTTGACCGCGATCTCTTCGATTCGCCGATCAAGTCTTCGATTCGCCCACGAAGCATATCGAACGTTTTTCTCATTAGCGAGTGTTTAACCTAAGAAGCCCATTATGAGGGGATCTAAGCCATATCTTCTAACGATAGTTAGGTTGTCATGTGGACCAGGTAGAGTTATTGAATTACGACGATTCAATGGAATCCCGTAAACGTTTTCGTACGCTTGTTCATAACGTTTCAGACTCATTGCGGTTACCCATTCTTCCCTTGCTAGCTCGTCACAAACATCAGCTGTAAGAATTAAAGATTGTCTTCTTTCTAGCTTTGAATGTTGTCTTGTTACTGAAGCCATTTCAATGCCACGATCAATGATTCCAGAATGTTGAAGATTGTTTTCAGTTGTTCGTTTCGCTTTTTGTTGTTGCAAAAGAGTCAACTTGTTCACGTAAACAACTTTATTCGCAATTGTTTGACCTTGAAGAAAGGCTTCTGCAGAACAAAATGCTTCAACGCGATCAAGTCTTCTTTAGTTTGATCAAGTCTTCTTTTGCGTGATCGAGTCTTCTTTTTGCACTGAAGTGGTTTCACCCAACTAAACAGCGTCTTTATCTTCGCTTCGTTTTAACAGCTACTGAATCACAAGCGTATCAACAACATTTCAATTCACCTTCTGTCTTATATATCAGAAAATATGCCACTTGACCGCCGATTGTTTCCATAAATAGGACGTGATCGATGTCACTGATAGGTTATTTTTAGCGCTTAAGTAGCACAGACTTCTGAGTGTCGCCCACGTATTGTGATTATTCATGTCCTTACATAACACATTTGTCTACACTTGGGAAATACGTTATCTAGAATGTCATGTGAAATAAATTGTACTTGATCAGTTGTGTAAAAGAGAATAAAATTGATGAGTATTTATGACTATGATATAAGTCAGCTGATAACCGCCCCAGGGCAGAACACTTTCATGATTAAACACACAAGAATACAGAGAGTTGATCTAGAGCGTCGATATTGTGACCTTGGGTTGGTTTGATCAATGATAATCGAACACATGATCAAATAGAACGAATGCATATCGTTCTAGAATCCAAACGAGTTCTGACAGATAGAAGTATGAATTAACACACCCTGTCACAGGCATCCCAACTTCTTGTCGGTAATTCTTGGATTATTTTGAGCATTTTTATAGGATTCAAGCCTAAAAACTTTCAAAGATTGAACTTGTTTAATGTTTTATTTGCTTTTTCTGGTTATTTGGGGTGGTCAATTGTCATTCAGCAATGTGGTGGGTACTATCAACAACACGTGGGGGGTGGTGACAGGTTACAAAGGCCACTGAAATAGCCTGAGAATAGACAAGAACAATCTATTCATCTAGACTATATATACAGATCTAGGTTAAATATTAGAAAGACTCTTCTAGACTAGACAATACAACCAACCTATACACTTTGATATCGATAACAAGTATCTCGACGGAGTTTTGAAGCCAAAGTAGGGCTTTTTTCAGCACATTCTAAAACCATTTTGCTGATCGAGCTTCTATATAGATTTAAAAATCTTACAAGTTTGTAAATCTTCCGTTATCCACGGAATTCCTGTAGTTGCGGTACCGTTTTGACGGCAATTCTACTATGAAAGCGACCATACTGGGAGTCATTGGCGGTGATATAGTTCTGTGACCGAAGTCAGGACGGAGTTGATGATGAGATTATTATGGTTTTCCGTGGCACGTTGTTTCGAGATTTAAAACATTTTGAAATATATAGCAATGCTATAAAGCGAGAATCGAAACTTTTTGACGGCGATATTTCGAGTCGAAAATTGTATATTACATGCATGTAAACAGAAACAAAGAAAGTAAATTTGAAAGTGTGAGATAGGAGTAAACCCCATATGTGAAAGTGATTTTGCGCAGTCTGAGTATTTATTTTTTGAGTATTTAGAACATGTAGGATTCTTCTTTCGCTTTCGAACTTCATTTTCAGTCGCTAAAAATCCATCGATTGCTTCGTATAACTTCTTAAGCTTTTCCCTGAGTATAAAGTTAACAAAGTTGACTTAAACCTAGCCAGTGATAACAATTATCCGCATTGAAAGTGACAAGAATAGCGGTTTTTAAGCTCTTAATGGATCTTTCCCATTCAAGACGTTGAGGCACCAGGATGGTTTAACAAGCAGTAGTTTCCCTAAGTAAGAACCTAAAATGAGAGCACTAGAGATGTCTTTCATAAAACACAAAAAAACAGACTTTGAGGTAATGTTACAGAAACTCGTTTTGTGGTGAATGCAAATACTTTTTAATATATCTTTATCATAATGACTTAGCATTCAGTGGTATTTTTGATTAAAACTGAAAAATGAGATGCATAAAGTTAGATGAGGACTGGCATGTCTGCGGGGGAGTGACAAGAAAACGGGAATGGACTGACTAGTTCATTAGAATTTAGCAAATTAAATTGTTCAATTTGTGAATAATATTAATAGAAGATTTTGGAAAAATTTGGCTAGAAAATTTCCTTCAGTGGAAATTAAATAAGAAAACATAATAATTCAATAAAAATCGCCTGCCTTGTATTCGTTCATTTCGTTAGTACTTGGTATCTTTATTTCATTAAAAGGATTTAAGTTCACTGCTAACTCGATTAGCGTTATTGCTCTCAGAGGTTTGACAAACATACTAAAAACTATTTCGGGCTTGACTTTAGGGTTTAATAATAGAAGCCGTCATGGGCGGTAGGGTGTGTCACACTGAATTACAAAGTGGTTGGTATTTTTAATACAATTCGTTTGAAAACAAATTTCAGTTGCGGATTTATGGAGCTATAAATATTCCTTATTAAGGCATGATTTGCGCGCTTCTTTACCTGTATACAGTTCGATGTTATGGTCTAATAGACACAAGCGAAAACAGTGAACGTAGCGACTACGATTGAGTACTTTCATTACGTGGAATAGAAAGGTGTTTGGATCGTGGAATGAAAGGAAGTTAATTCTGAAGTCGTCTTATCTTAGGTTCTGCTAAGATCTGTAAATAACAAGATGATTCTGTGCACGTGCACGGGAAGCCATTAAAGTGTCATTAATCGCAACATCAACTTTTCAATAAAAAAATCTCGAAAATGTTTCACTGTTCACTTTTTCTTCCAGACTAAAAACTTTGACATGAAAATTGTTATTTCGAAGTTGAAAAACATTCTGTATTGTCTAACCTGACCTAACTGATTGGACAACAGCCAATCAAATGCGATATTGGACATTCGGGATATGGCTGGACGAATTTCACCTTGACAATCGAACGTACTCGACCTGAATGACTCAACTACTCGATGAAACAACTGCAAATTCGAAGAATTTTTCTTTGTATCAACAATCGGATGGGACGTGTAGGCAGGTCTTCCGATCCTTAGAACGTTTGATCGCATGACAGGAAGAAGCTTTGCCCAGGCACGTTTTGTTACAGAGCAGGGGAATACTTTTTATATGGAACGTTTGATCGTGAGTCAGGAAGGCAGATTTTGCGTAGGACGTTTGATCATGAGGGAGAGGAACATTTGATCGTAGTTATGATAAATAGAAATGGCTGGCTATGTAAAGTTGAAGTTCTCCGATCATGAGTCCTTTGATTTGCGATTTCAAATGAAATATGGGTACAATTTAAAGAAACCTTTAGGTTAATGTTGAAGGTCCTAGAATTGCTCGGCTGCGACTCTTTCGTTCGCATAATTTAACAATAAGTATATCATAATGATAAGAATACACAGGTTTGGTATATTTATCCTTACAATCATTTACAATTTCAGATGGAACATTTATGAAGAACCGACCACAAATCGTACTCCGCAGACACTCTTTTGATAAAATGTTACCGCTGGCAATCTCAGTAAAAGCACGTGACTAGACAAGAATAGTCCATAACTAGATGGGTCTAAACCACTGCATCTTCGGTACCAGAGCAGCAATCGATTCGGCCTCAAATAAACAATGCGGAAGGGTAAAATCCAACCTCTGGTACCCAGGATACAACCACTGAGCTCCATTTAGCAACTGGATCTAGTTGTTTGTCCGTGAGAACCTTTATAAGTTAACGTTGTTACACTAAATCCCGCGAAACATCCAATTTTTTTAAATGTAACTTGCAAACTACACAGCAATGATGATTCTTCTTTTAAGGCAATTCCTATTTATTGTCAAGTCATGAAACAAACCAGAACACAACATTGTATCAGAAGATTGTATGCGATTCTAAATAGCATGTCTATATATAGGGAAAAATAGATCAATGGCGTGTTCTTGATGATTCTGTAAGGAGTCACATCGGTCTTCCTGTGTAAAACTGCGTGGTGCCTCAGCGTTTTGAATCCTATTTAAAAATAAAAATTCATTAATTTATGTTCAAGGCAGTAATAAGTTAGTTGGTCACTTACGCCCGTTTCTATTAGCAGATAATGTTGAATCCACTATTAATGGTGTAGTCGGAAACGACTGAAGCCTGCCTATACTTAGCTAATCCCAGGGATCGTGTCAAGCAGTACTATTTTAGGAATATTGTCAGACAATATTCTTCTTAGAGATCTTGCTCGGCAATACCTCCTCTTAAAGAAACGTCAGTAAGTTGTCCGAAACGTCAGTAAGTTGTTTCATCTACTTTTTACGGTGTTCAAGGCCCAGTTTGCACCATTATGCTTTGCGCGCCTCTGTTGTTATGACTTACACCAAAATACTTCTAGTATCCAAATATCACCACAAAACGAATTTCAGATGGTTAAAAAACTCTTATATTAGCGTTTAAAGTGTTTAGAAAAGTGAGATGCTCAAAGATTTGAAACACACAGTACAATTTATAGACTTTCGGTAAACTGAAAATGGCCGCCTCCCTACCCCAAAGCATAATGGTGCACACTGGGCCTTTAAATTTATCTTTATACACAACTCCTCTTAGATATCTGCCCGACAAGACCTGATGACTTTATATTGTTTTGGTAAAGTAATTCTATTATATAGTTGCTTACTTGTGCAGAGCACTCGTCTTCAGCCAGAGATTTAATTCTGTGAGCAATGTTTTGAGCGCTGTTCTTGTTATTGCCATCGAAGACGTTCTGTTGGTTGCTGAGTGCTAAGTATCCAACTTCCATCTTATTGATGTCATTTCCAACACCGACAGACAATAGGTTGACTCTCTTGCTCTTCAATAGAAAAATATTATTCTATCATTCTAGTAGTATTGATCGATTTCAACCATTTCCATCAAAAGATAAGATTTTCATTTTCAATCCAATTCTGATTTTAGACAGACTAATTTGCAAATAGCAGAGAAATTTACTTATTTTTTGTAAAGCAATAAATATTTGTTTATCATAAACCTCTCTTTTATATTCTACCATGAAAAAGTGAGTGGCGTTGTAGATGGTGATGATGATGATAATAATAATAATGAAAATAATATTAATAATATCTTATTTATTGTATTTATAATCTCGGTGTCACTACTATACCTTCAGTTTTTCCAAGACGGGTGTGATGACCGAGTCATAGTGCAGATGTCCATCCGTGATGGTTACGACGAATGGTATCCCGATCGATTTTTCAAGAAACAGGACCTCATTGGCGATGTCCAGAGCACTATCTGGCCAGGTACTACCATAAACAGCTTGAATATTCTAAGTATATAAGTAGGTAATAAGATTATAATTCGCTCGCAGGATTTAAACTTCCATAATTTTAGATACTATTGTAAACCAATTGAAACACTCAGTTTTCTCCAATGTCGGGGTTAAGGAAAAACCCAGCTATAGTGATATCGTGTATACTTACATCAATGTAAGATTTAAGAGCCATTGTATCTTCTCCTTTGTTGTAATGGCTTGTAAAATTAAACTCAACTTTAGCTGTTCTAGTAAAGGTAACCAAACTAAGATGCGCGCCGTGCCGTGAGATGTGAAGCAAGTGGATCAGTGTTTTGATCAGGTTTTTCGCAGCTGCAAAACCACCATTGTCGCGCATGCTCGTTGAGACATCCAGTAAAATTGCAATATCGACGATTTGAGAACAGTCTGAAAAAAAGTTTTCTTGTTATAAGTTGATCGATTTATGAAGATTAACAGAGAATGCCTTATCTTGTAAAAGGATTCAACCTTAGCCATTTGGGAACGCACGGTTAGTCTTCCCCATCGCCATCTTGAAAGGTCGCCTAGCGAGACAATGGTGAACTTGTAATGGGAGATACCAGTAAAAAAAGCGTATCTAACACTGCAGGCTCATCTCCTGTCTCTCTCTGAAGCATTGAAGGCTTGGCTACCTTTCAAGATGGCGCTGAAAACTGCAAAATGGAGTTTTCAAAGAAAAAATAGATTTTCAAGGAAATTAGCATGACATTTTTTTTGTGGCTTCTTTTGTTTCTAGTGAGCCTTTACCAATAGAGTCTGCTGTTAATAACACAACGATTATCCGCTTTAAACACGAAAAAGGAGTATTGCACATAAATACAAACCCAATAACTTGTAGATAAAATTCGTATAACCCATTCCAACGCAGTCTGCTTCACGATCAAAGTTGCAAACTCCTTCAAGAGAAGTGTGGTATCCCTGTGTACAATTTCGAGAACATCCATCACTCACAGCTCTGTGATAAGAATTACCAGCCCAGCACTCAGCATAAAACTGTATTCCAATGTAGCGGTATCCATGAGAGCGGGCCTTGGATGAGCATCGGCATAGAAGGCTAAAAATAAGGATAAACCTTCGGTGAAACGTCGCTTATTACTCGGACGTATCTTCGGAATCTTTTCGTCAATGTTTCGGATGCATTTCGGATGTCGGACGGTAATTTTGAATTCGAATGCTTTCGCAATTCCTGATATACACGACCCCTTAAGCTGTCCATTTTATTTCCCACTCCATTGTCTGAATGTTTTTTATCTATTTTTTATTTTTACTGAATTGAAAAATTGCTGTCGAGTATGCTAATAATAGCAGAAATTGAAACCGAAATGAAAAAAAATTTGCGCAGGTTCAAAAATATAAGGATGCGGTAGAAAATAGAAGGTTCACTTTTACACCTGAACGTAGTGAACAAAGGTACATTCATCTTAAGTAAATAGCCTCGTTACCTTCGCACAGATCCCTCAAAGTTTGACCAGTCGAATAACTGTCCAAACCTCGACGTGTCTTCAGGGTCACGATCGGTAATTAGGAAGTGAGGCAGACGTCTGTCGGCCAAATCGTCTTTGAAACACCCTACTTTTTCAAAATCGACCTGACATTCGTCTGCTCCTGGAAAAGTAAAACACAAAAAATATAGAAATTCGGATATAAATTAAAGATAAAAGTCTATTTAATGTTCATAACATTTTATAACCCAACTATAGAAGAAAAACTCTTTTTTTTCTCCGGCGCGGGGAAACAGTCTTGGGGATTTCCGAGAGCACTGGAGGAAAGAGATTCTAATACAAAGATGAACTTTTAAAGTTTTTGTTATCTAAGTTACCTTGAATTGCGGCCAGGACAGTCATCAGAACAGCTAACCACAGATGCATTTTGCTATCGCCGATTGTATCAGTTTCTAATACACACAATTCAAAGAGTATTAAAATTGCCAATAGTCCAAATCGCTGTAGGCCAATTTCTTCCGTGTGGAGTTCTTCAAGTAATGTTTAAAGTCCGACAATGAGGACTGGACGGGGTTTCATTAGTCTTTGTCTGCTATTCATGGCGTTCCTAATGAGCCTTATTCATAAGATTTATAAGCACGCTTTCTTCCGAGGAATCGCATCAAAAACCTCGTGGTATAATGGTATAAGACGGCACATATAGACTGGACGGTTGGGATCGATTCGTGAGGGAGTCATGTATCAAAGACGTTTTTTCACTAAATTAGTTCTATACTAAATTGATTATTTCTAATACTTTGATTATTATTAGCTAGTAGTAGAAAAAAGGTAGGAGTAACTGGAGTAACGGTGAGAGTGACAAATGTGCCTAACTAACTACTATACAGACATATTGCGTGCACTCCACGTTACTTTGTCTTCTATTGTGTAATTAAACATTTCAATATTGGTTCGTTAGTACTATTTCATATACTTGATTTGGATATTTGAAAACAATATAAGTTGTAGTCCTTTAAGATTCCAAAGATAATATTTAAAAATCGTATACATTGTTCAAACAACATTGGTTAGAGATTTTTGTTTGAAACAGACAACGAAGTTCAATAAATTAAGAGTGATTATATCAGTTTGCTGTTTTAAACGCTATTTCTTTCAATGCTTCATTTCGAGTTGGCAAAAGTGTAGAGTGCAATGTGGTGCTACAAATGATTTTAAAAAAGTGATGTTTTATAATTTTTTTATGTGACTACGCATAAATCTGTCATAGGCATTTTCGTTTTTTTTTTTTTTCACTAAAAGAATCCTTTGTGTTCTAAATTTCCCTCATGTTATTCATGAGGGAAATTCGAGTTTGTAAACCTCTTGCAAGACAATGGAATTCGCGTTGGTCATTGTATTACAAAATTTAGAACACATTTAATGTTAAAGTGAGTAGTTTTAGTAGGGTTTTTTCGTATTTTTAAAAGTAGATAAGGCTTAAATGGAGCTCTTTGCGRAAATCAATTAAGCAAGAACTTACCTGAAGTGGCTGCGAAATGAAATCAGTTGTGTAATTGTTAGATTTCTTAGTTTTTATGCTGTTTTAGTTTAGATAAAATCTACCGTTCTGTCCACGGACGGATGTGTTATCCCTCTCTGGTATATTAAAGTTTTAAACGGGACCCATTAGGTTGATTTAGTGTTCTACTTATACTGTTTGGAACACAACACGAGAACTTAAAGCGCCGAAGCGGATAAAAATCTTAAGTCGAAGTTTTAGGTATTTTAATGTTTGGTGTATTTTTTGAATGGAGCTGATTTATTATTAGCGAGACCACGTATTTCTTCACGTTACCTCACTATTTCATTCAATTCATCCGTTTATTTATTCCTTTTTTTCATTTAATTTTTTTTAATCGTCATGTTTTTCATTTCCGCATTCAAGAATTTATTCTTTATCTTGTTTAATGGTATTCCATTTTCTCTCTCACTCATTCATTTTTTCCATTTCTCGTTCATTTTATTTTTCTCAGTTTTGTTTTTTTCAGTCAGTCCTTTGTCATACAAATTTTGATTTCCCTTTCTTCAACAAAGATGATTTTTTATTGCGCGTGCCTTTATTCATCTATATAATTCTAGATCAATAGTGATCCGACATTATAATGACAGGATAAATGTCTGGTGATGATTAATTCATAGTTGTATATTGACTGTTTTCTCGATTTACGCACCGTTTTTAATTTTAACAACTCAAACAGATCCTTTGGAAAGTAATAAAGTTTAAGCCGTCGATAAAAATGTAAAAAGGCCGACTTTAAGTGCAGATATAGGAAAGCCGACTTGCGAATTTTGCCTCAATAATCACACACAAAGGAATCAGAACGAGGCGCCGTGCAAATCGTGTAAAGACTCTACTGATTCTGTTTTAAATGATTGTTCATCTTTGATTATTTGTGCATTGTAAGAATTACTTAAAGACACTCATGTATCCGACAACCTTTGCGACAGTTTGTAGAACAGATGATCTCTTGCCACGAAATTTGCATTTTCATCGTCAAAAATCGAAATCGCGCAAAACTTATCCGATTCAAATGGGACTTTCACTGGAAAAAATCGCGCGCTTTAAARGTTGTAAATTTGATATAAATATGATGTCCAAAATTCTGTAAATTTAATGGAAATCATTTACCTCAAGTTTACAGAATTTTGGACACTTACATCGTATTTACATCAAATTTACAACCTTTAAAGCGCGCAATTTTTTCCAGTGTTTAAGGCAAAGCCGGGGTTTCTAAAAACAAATCATACCATTGAACATATTTTATTGATGTAAGTCTCCAAGCTAAACAAAGTACTGCCCAATCTATAAAGCAACATTAGAATTTGGGCCTCCTGTGCTCCTACCACAGGAAACCCGACACCGAATATGCTGTAAGAGTAACAATTCTTAGAAATGTAACAGGGTAAAGATATAACGTTTTCTTGTCTAGGAAATCGAACTACTATTTTCATTAATTTGTGTACTATTTCTGTTACAGAACTCTTTAGTTAACTCGTGGATACGGTCTATCATGTATCCCGAATTGCGCTCCTCTGCCGTAAAGATGTCATTCACTTTGTCATCCACGAGTAGCTCGAGTAAACCAACATCGATTTCCCTTCCTACACCAGCAACCAGTAACTTTATGTTTTGTTCCTTGAGATACTGTCGATACGAAGGACTTCTGTTAATACTAAATGTGTCATGTACGTTCTTGACTCAGTGTTGGTAGATTGTTAACGCTAAAATCGTGAAAAATCAATAACCAAATAGAGTGATTGCACTAAGACTGTGAAACTGTACAAAATCTAAGTAGTAATAAAAGTGGACCTGAAGCAAGACGGTATTGAATGCTTGATTTGTAGAGTGATCTATTTAGTCGTATTTAGTAAATCATGCATGCATGCGGTATGCAAATTAAATTGAATTGATACAAATAAAGCATTCAATACAATCTTGCTTCAGGTCCACTTTTAGTACAAATTAATACTACTTAGATTTTGTACAGTTGCAAGGTTTAAGTGCGATCACTCTAATGCTTTAACGCAATGCAGTGTAGATTCCACAATTTAATTAGTATAATTCAACACTGTTAAATAGCTAAAGTTCTTCGTGGTTTAGTGTGCACGTACCTCTTGGACTATCTCGGACTGCAACTCGTCGGTGAACTTTCCGTTCGATATGAAGATGAGAACACGATTAACATCAGGTCTTGATCCAAGCTCTTCGCTGAACAACAAATTCAGCACGTGCATCGTCTCGTTCAGGCTGTTGATTAAAAAAAAACATCGTAAATCGATCTTTTGCGTGAAACAGTCACATAGTACTAAATCCGCCATACTGGATTGCAAAATACCCACTGGGATGTTCAAACAAAGAATAGTCAAGCTTGATGGGCTGCGTTCCTTTTGTTTTTGAGGTTTTTAACATTCTCTTGCCATCCAGCATGGCGGATTTAGTACAATCTGACCGTTTCATGCAAAAGGATTATTGATATCATTTAATGAGTTGCATCGTTTGTGTGGCCGTTCTAGGGGAGGGACGGGGAAAGGATGGGGAGGGGAGGGTGATTATTTTAGTTTTATTTATGTTACTTTATCAATTGTGATTAACGTTAACGTGTCAGTGTAATTATATTAACAAGAACACGCTACTTTGCGTGTTAAATATAATTCATTCATTTTTTGAGTCGCAAAAGATACTGGTCAAAGCACTAGTAAAGTAGTCTTTGTCGTCATAGTGAAACAAGGCCATAATAGGCCACACAGTCTTTTTTGACTGTTTCATTAAAAACACGTCTACACGGCCCGGACAAGTGAATGCATGTATTATATTTTACGTTAATTTATGCTAATTTACGTTAATTTATGCTAATTTATGTTAAATTATGTTACCGTGATTTGTGTACATACATTTTAGTCTCGCTCTCATACCTCGCTGTACCATTAAGCGAGTCATCCAAGGCGATCATCAAATCGACCTCTTCATTACTAGAAAACGTTTTGAATGAAAACCTTATCATTGATTCGTGGCCAAACGATACGTAAGCTGCTCTTGTGTAGTCTTTATTGATAGTAAAATTACTAATAATCGAGATTGCTAACGACTGCGCCATTACGACTCCTTGTTCAGTGATCGTTGTCGTTGTATCGATCAGGAATGCAAGGTCTTGTTTGTCTGTACAAGCTGGTGCGTCTGTTGATCAACAATGGAATTCTCAGAACCACGTTATGTCATAACCGCCATATTGGAATAAAATGGTCGAGAATTTCTCATTAGCTTTGTTGAAACCTAAAAATTGTGGTTTTCTTAAAGAGAAACTTTTATAAATTGGGATGATATTTCATGGTTGAAACGTCCGAGATGGCGGTGCAAGTTGAGGAAGATTTCTTTAAGGTTTTTTTTAATCCTCTGAAATCTTTCAAAGACGAAAACTAATATGGTAATCGATTGATCAAAAGAAAATGAACTTTTCGACAGATTTCTTGCACAAAGAAGTCGTTACTCTGTTTCCTAGCTAGTATTATTAGCAATTTTTAATAGGTTATACCTTGGCTTGCATGGCTCAAAGCAGACAACACAAAAATCTGTACGATACTGAAAAGCATGGCTGAGCATCACCTAAAAAAGAAGAGTTTCGTCAATCCTAGAATTTATTTTACCGTAACGTTATGAGCTTTTGATTGTATCAATCTCTTTCGACTAAATCATATCGTAATTGACTCCCAGATTTGCGTAAAATCTCACCAAATCAATGAGGATAAATTTTATCCAGTAGTATTTCTTTCCATGAAGACGACGCACAAGAAGTACGATCTTCAGCTACTCCATTAAACTGCTTAAATATTCGCAGTTGTTAAAATAAATGCAAGTTTGTTTATTTGCTTTAGTTATTCACATTCAAGTTTCGTCTCCAAATAAACCTTAAGAATTCTTTACAAAATGTGTCCATACCTTTAGGAGTGTTATTTCAATGAAATATCACCAGTTATGCTCCTCGTCTGCTTCTTAAGAATCCCACCAAGTAAGTGCTAGCAACCGAGAAGAGAATCTCTTGATATGAAACGTGTTGATTAAAGGTAGTTCATAAAGATCTTTTGTCATTAGTAATTACTGGTTGATCTTCATAAGTTTCGTTCAGTCTTTATTAATTCGAGGTGTTTTGGATTTTTCTGGATACTTCAATATTACTATGGTTTTACGCGCTTAGCTTACAATAAGTGTGTTATCAAAAATAGACGACTGTAGGGCCGAAAAGAATTGTGGTACCTCCTCAAAGATCTCACGGCATCGTAGAATAAAATCAAAACGTCTTTTGTTGATATAAACTAGAAACGGCTATTTTTGAAGGAAAGATTTTACATTTATTCGATAAATTTGTGATTGCAAATTCACAGAGATTCTGTCAAAGTCAGAACAGCTTTCATTTTTTTTCATGAAAATAAATCAATAGAGATGTTACTCGAGCAAATTCAGGCTCGTATCTGAAACCAATTTGAGGAAAATAAACAGATTTGAGGTAACAACAAATATTTTATTATCTAAAAGTGATACTGGCAAGCAAGTAGAATACAAAACAACAATATTTGTGGATATCAGCTTTTAATAATTGAAAATGGGTTTCAAATTTAATTATAAACCATGACTTTTGATCTGCTAGTCCCTTCCTCTTGTAGTGCTTAGCTGTAACTATGAATATGGTCCCTCGCAGAACTATTCTACAGCATTCCCCAGTGTAACCAAAACGATTTTCAACTGCATGGGACAGAATAAAATTAGTACAATTAATTTATAAGATAAAAGGACTGATGTTTTATTCACCAATGTCAGCTTTTACAATATTTTGAGAAATATGTTTTTTATTGCGAAATTTTGGGATTTCTGTACGTTCTGCTTTTTCTTTTTCGTTTCTTTTTTTCTGACTGTAAAATTCAACAAAAGTACAAACATTTAACCACGTAAAATTCAAATTACCTGATATTTAGATGGGTAGAGATCTACATTTCACGTTAGTCAGGGATCGAATCCTGTTAACCATGTTGTCAAGATTAAGATCGGAAGAAGAAGGATAAACATTCTCCTTCTTGTGGAGAGCAAGTGCGTTCAGCTCATTCAGCAAAACCCCATCTCCAATCCCAACCACAAGCACTTCGACATTGAGATTCTACAGACGATTAATATAGCAGAAGTCAAACATTGCTTCTAATTGTCAAAATACAGACAAAAATACTTCAATGTACAGGTAGTAGCCGAGGCTGTTTGTCTTTCTCTATTAAAAGAGCGTCTCAAAGTCTCTCATTTTCTTAATTCTGACATTGATTCGTTGAACATTTGAGAAGCTGTTCCTCTCAGTGTAAACCTTAGTGCGAAAGTTTTGAAAGAAATGGATGAGAGTTTAACTCAAGCACACATTCACCTCACGCAGGAGAAATTGGTGACTTAAACGAGCTGAACATGAATTTTTCAACTTAGTTTTCTCAAAGTTATAGCTGTTCGCGATAGTGATAGATTTTTACGAGCTGCTTTTGAACTGTAAAGTGAATGTTTACACGTGCTGTTAGTGACTTACCATAATAGGAAGGACCATCGATTCGAACGTCGGTATTCCAGTTCGAGGGAAGCGTCCATCACTTGCAATGACAAGAAAACGCGAGGCTGACGTCCTTGTTCCTGATCCGTGACTGAAAACCTCGTTAAGAGCGAGGCTCAGTGCTTTATCGATTCTGAAATGATCATACAAAATTGATGAAGAGGAACCAACAAGGTGTCTTTATATTGTCGAGTACATGCATTATCGGCAAAAACAAACAAACGAACAACCCGCTGAACGAACGACTCAATGTACCTATTGCTTAATCAACCACTCAAGCAATTGCAACCAACCAAGCACCGACCAATAAAGAAACAAACAGATCAGTCAGTGAGTAAGTTAATCAAACATCAGCAGCAAAAACAAAAATAAAAAAAAAGAAGAAAAGCCAAACGAGAAAAAAATCCGTTAGTCTACCTTGTACTGGAATTCCCAAATTCAACTTTCTCCACTGCAAGCTCAACTTCCTCTCGACTTTTGTAGTCCTTGAAAAGAAATTCTATTTTGGCTTCTTTACTAAACGTGATCAGTGCGAATCGTGTCTCGTCGTAACCTATTGTGAAGTTATCTGCGAGCTGAGTGGCAAAGGCCATGGCACTGACAAGCCATTCCACTCCCATACTCCCCGATGAATCGATAATGATACCGATATCGATGATGTCGTTACAGGCAGCACCTAGTATTAAAGATTGAGTATTAGGCATTAGAACGCCAATTGTTCCCAGTAAAGGCCGATTTAGACCACAAATTTTGCATCGCATGCAACCTGCGTAAGTCATCCTTACAACATGGCTACAACTGTTGTAGTGGTATTAAGCAATTGTTTAAAATCCCCACGACAGTTGTAGCCATTGTAAGGACGACTTACGCAGGTTGCATGCGATGGTTGTAGGTAAAAGTTGTGTCGTCTAAATTGGCCTTAAGGCAATCATCTCAAGAAAAAAGAGGTTCTCCTACACCATTCGTCTTTGTAGCCACCATATTTGGTGAAATAAGCAACTATTGATGGAACGAGTACAAAACACAAAAAGACATATATTGACGAAGAATTCCTAAAAAGACTAAATCATATAGTAAAAGCTAATTTAAGCAAATAAATAAAAAATAAACTCGGCAGTTAGTAGAATGATAAATGTTTGACAAACCCGGCAGAGAAAGGGTATTATGGAGTTTTGCCATTTTCATTTTAAAAATCTCAGTGTCGTCTCAACCTTTTTAAGCTGCTAATTTTTGAATTCTTATTAAGGCGTTCCATGATTCTCTATGAGATACTCAATTCCCGAAAAAACACATGTACAATTACTTTGTACTCATCAAAAAAAAGAACTGCTTTCATGCTTTCAAATGCCTCTTAAACGTCGAGCATTCAGGACACAGGCTTCATCTTTTAGCAAGTGCCACATCAACTGAGTTACATAAGCTAAGAAATCATTAATGACTTCACAGTAAAGAGTTGTGGCTTTAACGTTCTGTGACGAGCAAAAATGACAGCCACCAATATTCTTCACATTATTGAGTTGATGTTTTCCTTTTCAGGTTGTAAATTGCAAATATACCTGAAGCAAAGGACATCATGTTGAAGCTTATAAACCCACAAAGTAACCAAAACATCCACTTGGCGGCCATTTTAATTCGAGGGAGATGATGCTATGGCGAGAAGTGGCTGTCTACCGTGACGTTGGTGAAGTACTTTTGATAATGGTATGCCCCATGTGGGATTAATAATATATAATAAAGTAATGGCATTAAAAAAATATTATGAAAGTAAACCCATATAGATATTGAAATTAAAAACTATTTGTAAGGTGTATCTGTGTATAAACACCGGAATATAACAGAAAAACTCACTGTGAAAATGAATAATATTTTTTCCTTTATGGATGATTTTGTTGATTACTTTGATTGAGAGGTTGTTGAGTGTTTTTATGTTACTTGACAACAGGTCTGATCACAATGGAATGAGTCTCTATCATCATTAACTTGTATTTTTTTTCGATATCGATGTATTCATCATTTTCGACGGGTAAATTAAAAATTGCTATTTGTTTATTTTCAATTAAGAAACTGCGTATACAGTCATAAGGAATGGTATTTATTTAAACAACAATATTTAATGAGTGTAAAAACCTTAGGTTAGCTGACTTAGACTGGTTCTAAGTTTGAAATTAGAATTTGATTAAATTTGATTTGAAATAGAAAATTCTGCTAGAAGATATTTTTCCTGGAAAGGCTGAAACTAACATTATGATATTTGGCCATTTCAAAAAAGCTCAATGTATGTTTTTGCTAATTCTCGACAAGCCAAATTGTGTTGAAGTTGGCACCTTACTTTATAAATATAACTTATTAAGTTACAGGATACCACTAAGAAAAAACGTTTTGGGGGGAATTTTACTTTCACGAGAAACTTAAAAGATGTGGAGTCAAAAATTGATTATCACGCAGTAATCAACTGGAGTATTAACTACGGCTTTACGAGCTTAAAAGCTTAAAGTAGTTCATTTATCGTACGCAGTTGATTTACCAGCAGATAAGTGAAATTGTAAATTGGTCACATAAAACACTGAAAAAATCGCGCTCTTTAAAGGTTGTAAATTTGATGTGTAAATATAATGTAAGTGTCCAAAATTCTGTAAATTTAATGGAAATCATTTACATCATTTTAAAGCTTACTTGTTTATTCTTGCACTTTTCTCATTCTACTTTTTATTCATTTTTTTCATTTATTATATTCTTCCAATGAATCATTTTTTCATTTTTTCATTCATAAATGCATTCATTTCTCCAAAACGAATATCCAGATGAATTCTCTCTCAGTTTATTGAACCAATAAAGCCATAAACGTCTACATCTTCTTAATAATAGTATATCAATAAAAGACCATGTTAGGCCTCAAGAATACAAATTCACATTCTTCTAATCTATCAATGAATGCTGTCTATCCGAATCTCGTCCCTTGTAAATGCTTTTTCGTCTGAAAATAGAAAAATAGATGTAAATTAAGTGGTGCAACATTTGGAACGAATTTCAGTGCGTTGATATTGACGCCTATGTCCTCTTTTTCAACGTTTATTGGTGTCCCACATCGTTAACGTACCTATGATATTTTACCCTTGTCGTGTCTTGCAGAACGTCTTCAGAATGTCTTGAAGCTTTTCAATAAGGTCAGAAAAGGAATCGAGCTGGAACACTTCTTCGTCTTTACCCATTGCAATCACCTTCAATTCTTGTTTATCCACGAATGGACCAACACCAATTGACACAATTCGGATCCCTGGGACTTTGGACTGCAAGTACAAAATTGAAAAGAATAAGAAAAATGCTTAAGGGACATTATTCGTATACTTGGGACCTTATTCTTCAAGTACAAAGGAAAACAATAGGAATTACACAGCGAACAAATTAAGGGTCTCTCTCTATTTCGACGCGTGGGATCTTGGAGTGCAAGTACAAAATTGGAAAGAATGATAAGAAACAGCGTAGGGGACATTATTCGTCTACTTGAGACCTTACTCTGCAACTACATTTGAAAAAATAAGAATCTTAAAAAGTGAAAAAAAGCAAGGGTCTCTCTCTGTTCCGATGAGTGGGACCTTGGAGTGCAAAATGTACAAAATGCAGGAAGAAGGGACCGTTTTTTTCGGAAAGTGATCAATGTGCTCGATTTTACCCTTAGATATGGCATGACTTGGCTGTAAGGCTTTGAACTGCTGCCTGTTTGACCGTCCGTCAAGACCAACAGAAGGTGAGGGACAAAGTTTCTATGGCCTGGAACAACAAGAGCTCATTATTAGAGCCTGGAAAGAGGCAGTCACAAAGCCATAACTGAACTCAAATAAATGATTTTTCAAAACCAAGCGAATGGATTTCAAAGTTACATGAATTTACCTGAATAAGAGAAATTCTTCAAAAATTCGTATTAGAGTCAACTCTCGCCTTACGGACACCCCGCTACAACGGACACCCCGCTACAACGGACACCTCGATATTGCGGACAGTAACATACAGTCAACTCTCGCCTTACGGACACCCTGCTACAACGGACACCTCGATATTGCTGACAATAAAGTACTGATTCCCCGGCGAAAAATACAAAGAAATGACTGAAAGTAACTCTCGTTACTACGGACTCTCGCTACTTCGGACACTAAATTACGGTGCCGAGGGTGTCCGTAATAGCGAGAGTTGACTGTATTATTGTGTTCATGTTTTGCATACCTGGTCCAGCAAGCAGTTGGTCTGCAGCCATTTCCAAGGCCTTGTCAGTTCGTGTGGCACCGGGAATGAACTTGATGTTTTCTACTGCCTAAAACCACACAAATCAATAAAAAATATAAAAACTATGGAAGCATTTTATTTGGTTTTAACACGAATAATATTTTTATATGGTTTTAACACGAATAATTCACGATATTGCATGGTTATAAAGGCAGTAACAAGTGAAAAAACAGTTTGATTGAGAAACTTCAGTACTACTCGTATTTCCTACCAATTCAAACCGTCAAAGCCATTATACAGTTTAAAGGCCCAGTGTGCACCATTATACTTTGGGGCCCTCTGGCGGCCATTTACAGTTTACCGAAAGTCTATAAATTGTACTGTGCGTTTCGAATCTTTGACCATCTCACTTTTCTAAGCACTTTAAACGATAATATTAGAATTTTCAACCATATTACTTCGTTTTATGGTGATATTTGGATACTTGAAGTATTTTGGTGTAAATCATAACAACAGATGCTCGCAAAGCATAGTGGTGCAAACTGGGCCTTTAATTCTTAGAAACAGAAGTGCGCATTTCCAATACACTTTGTATGAAGTGCATGAGTCCTGTTGATGCTGTAGAGTCCTGATGATGCTGTAGAACAACGAAAGCTCGACTCCATACAAAGTTAAGTATTTACCATCTAACAGCAGTATCTGGTCGCATTTGCTATATCATTACTCTCCTACTAACATACTGCTGAAGGATAACTTCTCAAGATTAACGCATTCCCAATAGTTGTGTTATGTTTAGTGTTAATGTACAATTATTGGTCAGGGTTATTTTTTTACCTTTTTGAGTTTATCTTTGTTCTGGTATTCTGGCTTGGCGAGGTTCCAGAGTAAGTAAGATCTGTGGTTGTATTGGATAACACCAACATGGGTCTTTTGTGGAGTAACATCCAGCTCATCGATCAGCTTTATCAGGAAGTTCTTGACCTTAGCGAAATTTTCTCTTCGAACACTGGAGGAGGAGTCGATCACAAAGCCAACATCCATTGTCTTGTGGCACGGACCTGGATGAAAATTAGATGATTATTTATCAATTTCCTGGCACTTAACCTCCACTTTACTCGATGGTGTATTTTACTTACTTGGGCACTCCATAATGTGACATTGTACGGTTTCAAATGAAGCTCCTTCGCATGGTTTGCCATTGCCTTTTGGTGTGGGGTTGTTGCAGACTCTTTCTCGACTTGTTTGTCCCTTTCCACAGGATTTAGAACACGATGTCCAGTCGGACCATTTAGACCAGCCACCATCTACATCTGGACTCTGTGGCTCCGGTGCTGGAAATAAACAAAGTGCATAAGTTAATCTCAAAACAATTCTAGTTCTGAACGTGATGTCCAGGAAGATAGAAGATGATGAAGACAAGAACACCACTAGTGAAATGAAGATTGTTGAAATCTACTTATGATTGTGGAGAATACAAAAGGAAAAGAAAATGAAAAGAAAGTTAGGCGAGGAAAAGAACGAGAAGACGAAAGAGAAGAAGACGCCGAAGTAAAAGAGAGAAAGAAGGAACCGGGATGAAGATCGAAGTAAAGAAGAAAAACAAAGAAAAAGACTGGAGAAAGACAATAAAAGGGCAAATTACAAGAAATTATTATATTACTCAAAGAATCATTCGAGAAGAAGAAAGAGAGAAAAACTCAACAATTAATTTTGAGAAGATTTTACTTACTATTGTCCATTAAGTAGTAGATATAGTTAGTTTTCGGTCCACCAACACACTCAGAAAGATGGTCTTCTTTGGAGCAATCTCTAGGGACTTCAAGATTCTGGATGCAGTTGTTACTTGGGCCGTCCTTGCTGTAGACCGCTTCTCCGCTTGGTCCTCCCCAGCACTCCCCATAAAACTGAAGGCCAAAGACCTTGTAACCCTTTTGACGGGCCTTTTCAGCGCAACGACAGGCAAGACTGGAAATTAAACATAAATGACATCATGGAAACGCCTACAATCTTGAGAAGTTTATCGTGTTAAGGGGGCTTGTTGCAGTTTTTTTTTCTCTGACTGATGTCAAKGGATAAAGTCATCACTATCATTCTCATCATCATGACTATTATCATTACGAACTACAGCCATACACGAACCTGTGAAGGGATTCTCTCCATTTATGCCAGTCAAGCACGTGACCATCGTTAGCTGAGCTATAAATATCACGATCGTTGAGCAGCAATTCCGGAAGGGGTCTGGGTGAGAGTGAGTCGTGATAGCAACCAATTTTCGCCCATTTTCTTGAACATGTTGTAAATTCCAGTGGTTTCTTTGCCGCTATAACCCAAAAAACGCATATCACTGATTTTATCACTTGATTTACGTTACAGCCTGGTTCACTCAACGACATAGAAACATAGATCGAATGCAAACTAAGACAATAACGAAAAAAGTCAAAGAAATGGAGGCAAGCGTGCGGCATAAGACATCGACATAAGCAGAGCAATAAGCATAAGGGACATGTGTAAAAAACGAGACAAGGAAAATAACTTTTTGTCTTCTTTATCCTTTACGAACCTTACTAAACTATTGTGTTTTTGTTTTATTTTCTCTTTTGTTTTGTTGATAATGTAGCTGATACTGTTTATTTTTCTTATCGTTTGTTTTTTTTGGGTTTATATTCGCTTATGCTATTTCGTTGGTTGGACTATAAATTTTGACTTCTATCGCTCACAAATCTAATAACTTGTATATGTATATAACAAGTTTCATTATTAACTGATGGCGGTATCCAGGGGCTACTCCTTTTCCGTGTACATATCAAACTAACAAACAATCATTTGCGAGTAAATATCAAAAAAATATCTAATTACATTGTACGTTCCTCTAATTTGCTGTTGTCATGGTAACGATTTCCATGGTAACCTACAGAATATTTCCTTGATGATCAATTCTATTTTAGAATTCGTGAAACAACAACGCCCATTCAAGAAAATTTCTTTTTAATAAAAGAAGAGTTGTTTTGAGGACGCGAATGTCTTGAGCAAGAGAACTAATGCGTTTTTACAGCGGTTTTGTTCATATTTATTGTCCCATTTCCTTAAGCTCAAAGGACGGGGAGGCAGAAGCCGCCGTGGAAAGGTTTCTTTTGTTACCAATTCACTTTTTCTCGTTCATTGATTTTCACAAGCATTGTTTATCTGCCTCTTCCACACTTCTTTCTCATTTTCTTCAGCGTTGGTCGAATTTCAGACGCGCAAAAGAGGCTTATGTCTCCGCTGACTGACTTTACTAGAGAAAATGGGCCATTAAGGGAAAATAATACAACGACACGAAAACGAATACGGAAATAACACTCTTAATCATCGATTGTAATTGATCTCCTGTCGGCACAAGGTTTGTTTACTTCGTGTATATACAGGATTACATTGTTGGCTCAAGTTGTTCAAATACAATACAATAGCATGGCTGTTGCTTCCTTTATCTTCCTGGATAAATATTGGAGAATTTTGACTAGAGAAAATGTACTCTTAATTGAGGGTTGGTTGAATATGTGAATGATATGAATGAATGGATGGATATTTGGATAAATGAATTGACGGATGGATTGATGTTGAATAAATGAATGAAAAAATGGATGGATGCATGAATTCATGATGAATGAATATAGATTATTAAATGGGCTGAACAAAATGAATTAATAGATAAGTGATCGGAAAGCACAAGTGATGCAATAATTTGGAAAAATAATCTTTATTTTTTTTATTTTTTTTTTTTTATTTTGAAAAATAATCTTTTTTTTTAGTTAAAACTACTATACAACTGATTGTAAATTGTAATCATATTCAAGCTGAAGATGGCTTTATGGAAGTCGAAACATGTCTTTGAAATTTTAAAGTGTTGTGTTATTTAAAAAAACAAATGGATAACTACTTTAGGTTAAAATGAATGGGATACAAATGAATGAATGAAATTGAAAATGAGAGAAAGATCAAATATATGAATATTACTGACAATCGGACATATTCTATCCGGTAATCATGCTATTTTAGAACAAGCAATTGCCTGTTATTTGTAACGAGAACTATACAGATCCAAAGACGTCAAATCACAAAACAAAGTCAAAGAAACAAAGCTGTGTGTAGTTAAGATATCAAGGGGGGTAGTGTAAGTCGATTTTTACTCACCTAAGGCATCGTATAGGTGCAATAAGAATATCGTTAAAGCAAGAAGCTTCATTTTTCTGAAATAAAATTATAAGTTTGTTTAGCTCATTTTGCTTCAATAAAAACTAAAGGCAATTAACCTGTGTGTTCCTTAGTGAAAATAATATTTTCGTTAATCTACTAACATTGACGCTATAAGTGTTTATATATAGTCAGATACAAAACGTCCCATCACTTGTCTTAACAAAAGTTGATTTTACTAAAACAAGTTCTCGTTAAATTATGCATATTTACAGTTAATTCTTAGTAAGTTGTCTAGGTCATCTTTTTAAGCAACTTCTCACGATACGAATAATAACTCTGTACGTAGTTCAATCAATCAAAGTCCGTGTTTACTTTTATCGATTAAATCAGTAAAATGTTAGCGTCCTTAATAACTTCATTCCTTAGTTTCCTAGGACTCTTACAATACTGGTACAAAACCAGACATCCTGGAAAAGGCTTACTGGAAAATACCTTCTTTGTATCCAACATTTCGTCATGATAAATATGGATAAAAAGCGAGAGATAAAATGTAACCTGTTTTGAAAACAACGGTTGTTATGTTAAAGATTTAGTTTAGGCTTAGTTTATCTCTGTATGCGTTGCATCACAAAGTGTTGACTAATTTTTTTAGAACTCTTTCTTACCTTTTGTGAGAGTTTCTTTATTAGAGGCAGGAGTCAGATGCGTCCGACAGATCAGAAGTGACGAAGTGGACAAACGAAAGCTCCCTATGTGCTTATAAAGCTTACGGTAGGGAGTTAAATAGATCGAATTATGATGTTAATGATTTGTTTGCTTTTCCGTTCCCTTGTATAATGGTTTGTTAACGAAAAACTCTTCATTTGCTAAAGTAAATAACTTGAAAGTCGAAAAACCTGAGCTTCTTTAAACTGTTTAACGTAAATTAGTAATACTACGACTTCATTTATTTGAAGTACTGTTTTATTGGAAAGGTCTTTCATCTACAAGAGTATTTTCATAATTAAAAAAAGGTCGGAATCCATTTCGACAAGTTGATGAATGAAGTGGTAGCTTTGTACTTACTACAAGGTGCGCATGCGTCGTCAWTTCAGCGAGTAATGGCGGCTCTTCAACCAAGCAAACAGTCAGCCAAATTACGCTTGCTAAGAGCAGGAAACGTGTTTTATTTGATTAAAAACAATTCATATCTTTATTTCGTATTTGTTTTATCGCAATAAGCAAAATTTGGAGGRACAAAAGCGTCAAAAGTGTTTCATAATTGGTGCGTTGTGATCGATATATTTCTATTATRTATCAATCAATGTGTTGTTTAAAAACGATTATACGAACATGTTTCCTTATTCATGGTCGTGTTTGGTTTGCGATGTATTCACAAAAGATCGTTAGAAATTGATGCCATTTCTGTCGCTGTGCATGATTCGGCTTCTTGTTCAATTGTTTCATTGTTTTTTCGCGGAGTTTAACTTCTTTTAAAAAAATAAAATAACTTGAATTAAAGAAATAGTTGCGGATTATATGGTGACCTGAGTTGGGAGAACACATCCCCTAAGATCATTTGAAATACTGTGAATCAAACAATTCAAAACTGGTAAGCTGTGTTGTAGAAAACGCGCACACATTTCCAACATCACACGGTTAAATTGCTGACCATGAATTTCTTTGAAAATACAGCATATAATGTTCGCTTTCTCCATCAATAAATTTCCAAAACTTTAGT